GTTAGGCTAAAACAGCATTAATTATATTCCACTTTTGCCCTGAGGGCCCGAGCATACTGTACATTTTGACATGAGCGCCTTATTTCACCACAATTCCTCTCAAAGAATTAGCTGGTACACGAGTAAAACATTAGAGGGGAGAAGGCCTCTGAATAATAATAATAATAATAATAATAATAATAATAATAATAATAATAATAATAATAATAATAATAATAATAATAATAATTACATAGCGCATGTCAAAAAAAGCAGCTCAGTGCGCTTTACTTTGCAATACTCATTTTCATATATAGGCCTACGAATGTTGCACGCTGAGAAGAGACAGCAGCAAAAAAAAATTGTTTGTTTGAGTTTGAAAGAGAACTCGACGACATGACAACTGTGCTTGGATTCTGGTCGACACGACATGACATGGAATGTTAACATAAAAAAAAATAAATGAAGTAGTATAATGTGAGGGGTGCTCACAAATGAATTATATACGAGGGGCGTACCAAAGGTGTTTTTTTACCTAACCATGAAGAAATAAAGGTAGAAAGCTGAAATTTGGCACAAAGCTTAGTCTTTCTCTATGTAGTCACCTCCCACAGTTACACATTTTTGCCATCAGCATGACCTTGCAAAGACCTTGAGAATAGAGGACCTCTCTCTTGCTAGTTCGTTTGTTGGGAGTGCTGAATTTTTCATTGACTACTTCTTGCTCAGAAAGAGTTGCTTTTGGAAGGGAAATACATGTACATACATTATTATTATATTAAGGTTGTGGTTTGTTACCTTCCATTCTTCTTCTAATAGATAGGTCCAGTGACTTTTCCAATATATTCATTTTTTAGTTTCGTTTGTCTATTTTTTGTTCTTTTGTTTTGCTGTTGCCATCTATACAATAAGCTTGATAGAGAATCTGGTACACTTTAAGCTTACAGAAAAGGAACAAAATGGGAGGCCGAAAACTAAATAAGGTCCCCTTTTTGAATTGACTTAATTAAAACCTTTCGATGGAACATTAACAGTGCATGGGAAAACTACCCTTCAACAATTCAAAGAAGCGAAAAAGAAGAAAGAAAGCAGACGATAGCATCATATCAGAGCAGCCAAGTTATATACACGCACAATGACATGTTCCTCTGTTTGTAGGAGGTCTAATGTACACAGTGGCAGTGATCAGTGGTTTACACAGTCAGGGAGGACTATCTCACATAGTTATTGGACATGAAGGAGTAACAGATTAGGATGATAATATGTACAGAAACCTAGCTAAAAAAGAATTGATGATGATGATGATGATGATGATGATGATGATGATGATGATGATGATGATGTAGATGATGATGATGATGATGACGATGATGCCATCAACTTGTGACCATCAATGCATTCGTTTTCCAAAGTATCTGGCAGCTTATTTAAGTTATTACCAATACTGATAGTTATCTACACAGATGGAAAGACTCCCATTATGGTATGTATATATTTAACTACCCACTGCTCAGCTCTGTCTTCTACATGTAGCCAACTTGATATTACCCTGTCACAGGGCTTTTCCTCAAACTTATCATTCTTTGTTAAAAATTAATAGAATCTGATAATTTCACATTTTTGGCTCAGTTTGCGTAATTTCATTTATATTTTTGGGGGGTATAAAACCGCGGGGACAGACTATTACATGAAAGTCCGATATTTTAAAATTTTATAACCAGGAAATGTGATGGATTTAGAGTTTGTTTTGCTTTTTTTTTTAAACCAAAGAAAAAAAAAGAAGCCAACATATAGACTGTGACGTTGTTGATCTCATTGAGTCAATATATAACCATTTTTCCCAAGCCTAGCACAAAAAATCGATGGCAAAAAGATGTTTTCAGGAAGATCTAACATCTCATAATAACCTAGAAAAAAAATTAACTTGAACTCGCTGATCTGCTGGCAGCATAGAAACATGACGCAGTTTTTGTTTGCTTTTGTTGTTGTCTGATTGTTTGGGGTTTTTTCTTTTCCTTCAGAGATCAAGCATCATGTCACAATGCAACAAAATCAACTTGAATAGAACATTTTTCAAAAACAATATAAAAATGTTCTCAGCTGGCATGCCACAGCCTAGCAAAATATCAACTTGAACAAAAACAAGGCGCACCCTTGGTCTTTACAACCACGTAGGCTAAAGATGTTTTCACAAAGATTTCTATCATATCACAAGCTCAAAAAATCAACTTGAATAAAAACGAGGTGCACCTTTGGTTTTTACAACCACGTAGGCTAAAATTTTTCCAGAAAAAGATAATCTATCACGTAGTCACAGGAAAGATTATCCACTAGTGAAGAATCTTTGGTCATGGGGCTCACAAAACCATCCTGATGTAGTCCACGTGCTCACAGATCTCACAAAGACTCACAAAACCATCATGATGTAGTCCACGTGGCCACAAGATAATCTATCACGTGGTCACAGATCTCACAAAACCATCGTGATATAGTCCTTCATCTTCCGGGGCACGGGAAGCTCCTGAGCCCTCACCACCCGGTCCCCCTTGAACTCACAGCCCGCCAGCACAGAGCCCGCCACCACGTGACGACAGCGGTCCTGGAGGTTGAGGAAGGAGCGGTAGCGGGTCCCCACCATCATGGCGCTCTTGGCCGCCGTGGAGCAGATGGTCGGGTACAGGTCGGACTCCACTCTGTCCAGGCCTTGGAAGGGCGATGCCTG